GAATGAAGCCTCAATATTTTCGACAATATAGTTCCTTGCATGAATTTTTCTAAAGTTTCCTCCACTTACTTATTTTGTCACACGAAGGATAATGTTGTTGTCATTGCTGATATGGAGGTTGCCGATATGACCCTTATTTTGTCAAGCATCGAAGGATAATGTTGTTGCTGCTTGTTGATATGGAGGTTGCTGATATGACTGTTGTTGAAATGCAGGTTGTCTAGTAGATGAGCTAACACTTTGTTTCCACCCAAAATTCTGATTCTGATTCCCTCTCCATCCTTGTGCAGTATTATTCTGATAATTGTTAGGGTTAGGAAAATTACCTTGCCTGCCTTGACTACTACCTTGGGCACCCATATAATTAACTTCTTCTTGTTGAATGTTTCCTTGATAAGAACATTGTTCATTTGCATGATCACCTCCACACACATCACAACTCATTTGTTGATTATGAATGCATTGTACTATATGCATTTATTGAGGTAATTTCTCTATTTTTTGGTTCAATGCTTCAATTTGTTGTGTTATAAGTTTATTCTGGGCTAAGATAGCATCTGAGCTGTTAAGTTCAAGAGCTCCCTTCCTTTGAATTGGATGTCTATCATGTTGGGCCTGTTGGTCTGTAAAGGCTAGTGCATCAATAATTCTGGTGGCATGATCAATTTCTACATCCAACATGGATCCTCCTATTGCAGCCTCTAATAGCATCTTTGCATCATGTCGCAAGCCAGTATAGAAAATATTCAACTGAGAAACGTCATCAAATCCATGATTTGGGCAACTTCTCAATAATGATTTAAATTTGTCCCATGCTTCACAAAATTGTGCATCTGCTCCTTGTCTGAAAGAAGTGATGTCAGATTTTGCTTTGATGTAACGGGATGGTGGGAAAAATCTATTCAGAAACTTCTCTTCTACACTACTCCAATTAGTCAAACTCTAATTAGGATGTGCTTTCAGCCACTCCTTTGCCCTACCAACCAAAGAAAAAGGAAATAATATCAAATATGCGGATTCCAGATTTTTTGCTCTAAATCCCATGGTACCAATCAACTCATAAAAAGTAGACAAATGAATATAAGGGTCTTCATGATCCAATCCAGTGAATTGATGAGCACTAATCAAACTTAAGAAAGCTGGATTCATCTGCAATGTATGATCATCCGGAAAGACAATGCTGGAAAAATGTCTTGGACCTTGCTGCATAGCACAATTTCTAAGAGTTCTTGTAGGTGGATTTGCATTTGGGTTTTGATTTGGATTTATATTGGGATCTGGATTCGGATTCAGATTTGCTCCTTCTTCCACCATATCTTCTATAATTGGGTCTGGTAAATCAGATGTGGAAGAAGAATTAACAGATTCTCTTGTGGCTTGTTCTTGAGTTTCCCTTCTTCTTCTACCCCGGTTCCTCCGAGCTGGTTTTTCAATCTCTTGATTAAATTGTAACTGCTCTGAAGATATCTGTCATCTTAAACGCATAAATCAAAATAGTAACTCACGCAAAGATTAGCATAAGGCAATAATTAAGTAAAACTAAAACTGAAAAATAAAACAAAAACAGAAATAAAAATAAAATACTCAATAAGTTAAACAAAGAATTCTCAAAGAACATCATTCCTCGGCAACGGCACCAGAAATACTCAAATCATCCATGTTGATTCCTCACACATGAAATTCATAAGAAAACCTAATAAATGTTGATTCCTCATACAACTAAGAGATTTCCTAGAATTAGGTTTAGGGTGTTAAGCAATTGATACATTCATTCCATTCTTGGAAATTAATGTAACAAATATTCTTACCGTGATCTAGGGTTTAAGATATATTTTCCAATCATAACTCAAAAATCAAGAATAAATCATTCCAAAGTATAAAGGATAAGAATAACAACATCATGTTAGAATCGCACAGCGGAATGTTCGCGTGGTCGGACAAAAACCAAGAGGGGGGGTGAATTGGTTTCTTAATAAAAATTAGGTTTTCAAAATTTTCCCCAAATTTTACCGATTAAAAACTGTGTAAATGTAAATAGAGAAAGGGATAGAGTCTTACACAGGAAATTTATACTGGTTCGGATCAAAAGACCCTACGTCCAGTTGCTAATCACTCAAACAGAGGATTAACACTGACACTATAAACAAAGTTATTACAAACAAGTTACAATGGAAGATATAAAGTAAAGATAACACCTCTCTTGAAATCCACAAGAGATGAAGAACAGCTTTCCCCAGAGACAGCGCAACACACAATCCACTAAGAACTCCACTTACTGATTCTTATCGCTTCTAGCCCACACCAGGTTCAGAAAGCCCCTTTTTCTTGCAACAAACAGTTCTCTGGCACTCACAATGCTTAACTTTTGTATGAAAAAGGTTGTTCTTATTTTCTAAGTGCCATAGAAGAGTTTAAGTAGAGAAATTAGGGTTTGGGAATTGGGATTTTCGGAATTAGGGTTCTTGGGAAAAGGGTTTTCGAAAATAGGTTTGATTTGAAGTTAAAAATCAAAATCTGACTGAGATAATCGATTAAAAGAAGTATTAATCGATTAAAACAGAGCCAAATATCAACAGAACCCAAACCTCTCGTTTTAATCGATTAAAAGGTGATTTAATCGATTAAAGCACTGATAATCGATTAAAATTTGGTTTAATCGATTAAACCGATGAGTTGTTACGAGAAAATGATTTTTCTCACTGTTTTAATCGATTATTTCCCTATTTAATCGATTAAAGCTGAGCCTGGATGATAAATATGAGCTTTTTGAAGCTTCTAAGGTGCAGACTATGTACCGGCTATCATAAACTCTAATATTACATACTCAATCTAATTGAAACAGAGTTATTACAATACAAAACAAGTCTTCAACACTCTAAGTCTTTGTGTTCTTGAATCATCATCAAAATCAACAATCTTCATGTCCATCAAGTGCAACATCAAGTCCTTGAATGTTCAACAATCTCCCCCTTTTTGATGATGATCAAAATTATCTTTTAAAGCCTTGTAATAACCTATTTTATCTGTCAAACTAACAAACACATTAAACATACCAGATAATATTTAAATTCAATTCATAAGAGGCTTTAAATATTTCTCCCCATATTTTGATTATAATCAAGAATAACTCTGCAATAACAATCATTAGAGCTCCCCCTCAAAATATGCATAAGTTGGAGATAACTCCCCCTCAATCAAAGCATTAAAGAAACATCATATTTTATTGCAGAAACAATCATTCATTACAATAACAAGAGAAAATAACAAAAAGAAAATGATCAACAAAATTTAAAATTCTTCACTATCGTCATCATTAAAGTGTGCATCAAATCTATTTTCTAAACGGCACACTTTATCATCTACATCAGATATACGGCGAATTAATTCCTCATGCCGTACTCCAAAAATAGTGAAGAATGATTGCATCCTCTTATTCATGTCAGATAACATGTCTTCCATGGATTGTCGGGTTTCATGATGAGTAGAGGAAGTTCCAACACTTTGGAGTTGGTCAGAGGGAAACTCAGCAGCTGGAGGCATATCTTCATCAGAATCTTCATTAGCATCACCTTGATTAGGAACGTCATCTTTGTGAACATAAATATCATTGACTCGCACCATTTGGAGTTGAATCAATGTGCTATCCAGCATGCGGTTCAAGTTATTTGTTCTAACGGCTTGTTCACCTTCAACATTCACTCCTTTATATTCAAGAATACGAGAGACAAGTAAAGCATATAGAATTTTGAATTGTGGGATGACGTTTTGCTTTTAACATGGTCATTGTGACAAGAACGCCCCAATCTAACGGCTCATTATTGAAAGTGATGAAGATCTTAGTAAAATACTTTGGCAAAGATCTCATTGATTTGATGAAGTAAAAAATGAAGTCAAAAGGCTACTTTGCAGTGGTCAACAAGTCACTCAGATAAAAGAGTTAGAGGATTAGTGTGTCTAACAGAATGCTTAGGTAAAACCACTTTATCTTTTCTGCTGCATGAAGTTTCTTCACTTAAATGATTTTGCAAAATGCCTCTAAAATCGTTTTAAACAATTAAAAACAAAGCATTTTGACAAAAGCTTTCTTAATAATGTTTTTAACTGATATAGTTTTGAAAGAACCGATTAAAATCACTTAGAATGTTCAAAGAAGTGTTTTTACAGTATTTTAATCGATACAAATTACTTTTAATCGATTAAAACCTTTTAGAACCCATTATGACCGATCAAGTTTGAAATATGAGCGATCAAAATTTGTTTTAATCGATTAAAACATGTTTCAATCGATTAAAATCACTTAAAGGGTCAGGATGATCGATCAGAATGTAGTTATGACCGATCAGAGTTTGTTATGATCGATCAGAATTGAATTATGACCGATCATATCTGTTTCAATCGATTAAAACGCATTTCAACCGATTAAAACAACTT